GCATCTGTCAACGAGGCGGAGAGGGCCACGATGCGAATCTGCTTTTCAATTTGGGAGCTGATATAACGCATGCGCGAGCAGACGATCTCCATGACGGGACCCTCCTCRCCGCCCACCAGCTGCAGTTCATCGACAATGAAGAGATTGATCTGCTGCACATTCTTACGCTGCTTCCAGCGACGCGASAGCACGTCCCACTTGTCCGCGGTGGTTATAATCAATTGTCCCTTGGCAAKGAGCTTAAGATCCGTGCCCGTTTCGCCAGTCAGTTTGACCACCTTGATATCCAGACTGCCAAACTTGGCATGCCAGTCGGCGAAGACCAGATCGGCCAGCGCCTCTTGGGACACCAGATAGACGCAACGTCCTTCGCTGCTCTGGCTAAACAAGCGCATGATGGCAAATTCGGCAATGGTCATCTTGCCAGATCCCGTTGGAGCACCCACAAAGACATTCTCATCGCTGTTGTAGACGGCGTTGAAGACCTGCGTCTGGATGGGATTGAACTGCGGGAAACGTTGCGAATAGAATGCCTCGAACTTGGGCTGGCGCAAAGCGCTAATGGGCAGCGGCTGCAAGTCCAGCAGTTCCGTYGGTGGCATRTTCTTCTCGGGCAAAATSARATGCCKGAAGGASACGGGCAGCTGTGTTTCGGCTCCTATCCAKCGATCGGAGACAATGCGTAGAAAATATTGTGGGGGCAAAGGCTCAAAAACTGGCACAAAGAACTTCAGCTGATGCTCATCCTGTGCATACTTCTGTTTGAGCAAGAAGAATTCATGATGCAATATCAGCTCCGAGTCCACATCCTCAATCAACACCCAGAAACCTTCCGATTGCCCGTGCACCTTTTCATCCCACTGAAAATCGGGGGTTATTGTTAGCTCCACGCGCAGCGTTGATCGCGTTATGGGCTGGATGTGCGTAGACAGCTCGAGTTTGGGAAACTGATGCACGAATTTGTGTATGGTCTTGCCCAGCTTGGGCACACGTATCAGCTCGCCCAGCTCATGCGGCTCCAGGTCGTACAGACGCTGCCAAGGAAAGTGTTTCTTCTCYAGCTTCTTSGCGATTTCATCWGGCATCTTCTTGAATTGGCGCAACGGCGTCATCGACTGCCACATGCGACGATCAATCATCTTGCACAGCGTCAGCGTTTTATCCGCCAACTGCGCCCAGCCACGCGTCAGCACAATCTCGAAGATGGCGCGCATTAGACGGGCAGCCGATTGTGTGATGAATACCATGTCAGACATCAAGGCGAAACCTTCCAGCTTCAGCTGAGAGATGTACGCCTGCAGCAGCACATTCACCTTGGCGCTGTGCTCCTCAATGGATTCCTTGATGGGTATGGGCACTCGCTCCATAAGCTTCTGCAGCTCCAGTTTCTCCTCCTCGCGTACAGAGATGTGCTTGAACTCCGACGACAAAGAAAACACACGGAATA